AGACATAAAAAAGAAAGGTAAAAAACGTGTAAGAGAACGTACATGGAAGGATTCAAGACCACACACAATGTTTTTGCCAGATTAAACGTTTACTTAACCTAAAGTCAGTTTTGTAATGCACAGGCATACACTATTACCGCTGTTATCGACCAAATATTTCTTCCAGACTTCGTAATTCTATTTCTTTAATGGTATTTAAAGCTTTAATAAAATCAATATATACATATTAACTCACTATGCGCATTTAATACAGTATCAGACATACCATATATCGCGAATAACAATTGGCAGCCGTTTAATTTGGTCTCACAAGCAGAGAGTGTGAGATATCAGTAGTCGATTCATAGTTAAACGATTAACATTGTCGTTATCGTTATTTCAGTATTTGCAAAAAAAAACAATTCATCGTACAACTGAAAAACTCGTATATAGTGAGGATCGTCTGTGTTTGTTGTGCTGACATTTCGGGCCGATTGTTGTCACCAAATTTATTACCTTTTAGGGAAAATTTATCGAGATCAATGACCAACCAATCACGTTTCGATCCATGCGGACAAAATGGGGAGGTCGCTGTGTGAGTTCAAAATGCAGGTTTTTGCGAGTGAACGTGTGAAACCAAAACTAAACGGGTGTCTTGTGTAACATGTGAAAACTAAACTGGATGTCTCGTGCATAATTTTACTTTTTGTATAACAACCCCTCTAAGCACAAGTTTCATTGGGCGCACGTATATAAGAAAGTGACTACACGCACCATTATCAATTATTCAGAACGGAATTTTCAAGGTGTGCCAAGTTCGATTACCAACATTAGTATGGAACATACAATTTGCTCACAATTAAGGTCAGGTTTTTTTTGTAACGTACCCCGCAACGGAAGTCATCTTGTTGTTATAGAAAAAATTTTGAGAAAGTCCGAAGCAGAAACTGTTTTATGCGATAAAATTGAGTTGCCAAGAGAAGTTGCTATTCTCCGAAAATTTCCTCCGCATCCTAATATTGCAGCTCTTCTTTACTGGACACAAATCAGACCAGAAGAGTGGATGGTTCTGTTCGAATATCATGAGTCAAATTTAAAAGATTATTTGAACGCCGTTGCAAGAATTAGAAAAACTAACGGCTTAACGGAAAATGAATCGAAAAAAATAATGTGCCAGCTGTTGCGTGCGTGTAGACACTTGGAGGACCATGGAATCTACCATCGCAACTTAAACCTAGAAAAAATAGTCATCGGCATTGATGGTAATATCAAATTAACTGGCTTTGGTTTGGCCATCGAGGTGAAGGAAAACGAACAGCATATTGAGAAAATTGGATCAAGTAAGAATTTGAATTATTAATTTAACACATGTCACGTTTGTTTGTGTTCATTATTTATATCTGCTGTTTTCCTTAGTTGTTCCACCTGAAATGTACGGTCACGTTACTTATAAACAATCGACTGCCCAAGTGTGGATATTAGGATCTATTTTCTACCAATGCTTTGAGAGGATCGAGCCGTATCAACAAGAGCGAGTGCGTTGTAAAGCATTGGGGCCGGTCATGTTTAGCAAATATAATCGTCCTTCGAAAGAATGTGTAGAGCTGATGGAGTGGATGTTGGACGTTGACCCCAACAGAAGGCCTCAATGTATTAATGATATTCTTAATCACGTGTGGATTAGACATGATTGAGTACCTTTATAAAATGGCAAATCGAATATGTTATATATGTCTTTGTATTATGATAAGAGTATGCGTTTATAGATCCTATGTTACTAATTGTACATGTTCTCATGCGCCAATTTAAGTTTATAGAATACCCATTTATGACATAGTAATAACTTTTTTATGCTTATGATCAGCGTTGGAGAAGATCAACGTGAAGTAGGTAATAATAATTATCCAACTACGTTTTGGAATAGATAGTAAGCTTTATCAATGTTTATATGATTCTCACATTGTAAAAAGTTCTTCTAATAAACGAGTAATATTATACTCTGAAACACAGCATTAATAATTGATCATTCGTCATCTACCGAGAACATAATTCGATACTTGTCCATTCGATTATTTACGATGATAATGGTCTATAAATAAACCGTTTTGGACAGTGATGTAGCGCACAATACAGCTCGTTTCGCAATAGGCACACACGTCTCTTGTTGATAAGAGTAGTCGATATTTGTTTTTTTTTGCTTTGGCAATACGATAAATTAAGAAACAATGTTATGAATAATACATTCAGACTTTAAGCTATGTACAAGACATTCAAGTTTAAACAATAATTATCCGATTTTCCGCTCTGTGGCACGAACGATCTACGAAGCTGCAAGAAAAATGGACACATTAGGCAAAAAAATAGCTCTGGCACAATTTTTCGTTCATTATTGTTATTTTCTGGTTATAAGCTGTAGTTTCTGATACTATTGAGAAACAAAACGTATTCTCCGACCGCGCGTCCTTCAGGTTATACTCGCCCTTAACCTAGAAGAGAACCAGGATTATTATTTAATTCTTTGCGCAAGTTTAGCAGTTAGTTCCCAACCGATAGGCTATTAGTTTAAACCCGCTAATAGAAATAGATGTAGATCTCGAGAGGTTAAATAATCCAAGGAGAAGCGTATACAAAACCCATAATTAGATCGTGAGTATAAATCGTAGTTAAAGGCCATTAATTGTTAAAGAAATATCGAAAGGTTTCGATTGAAAAGAGCTAAATCTCAAGGCCCATATACCCATCGCTCCCTCGGGTATATATTGGCACACATTATTGCCAAAAAAGACATTAAATACTGTAATAATGACCTCTTTATAAAATTTAAACTTTTGATTGGCCCTTACATACTTCAAGTCTCACGCTACAACGTATGATCATTT